CTCCCTTTAAGGAAGATGACCCACTGTCATCAGTTCCCACCAGCTGAAGCAGCAGAAAGCTGTACAGTGAAGTTTGAGTTTTTGACACTGCTAACGATCCATGCAAGGGCCAACATTATCCTATATAATAATCCTGGTTGTTTTTTTTTTTTTCCAGTGGATTGAACCATCCCTCCCAACATTTATCAAGAAAATGCTAAGGCTAAAAAGTCAATGCCCCATGTCACATGCAACTTTGGCACTTAAGCTGGCCAGTCCAACTGAATGGGCAGATGACCAGAATCTCCCTGTCTCTCAGGTCTCTGTAAAATAGTAAGAATAGCCAACCATATTCATACTGAGGAGGCGCAAACAGTTGTGAAGCCTTAAGTTGACAAATGCTGCAGGAAGACCACAGAAAGAAAGGATTTTGTCTCTCACATATTGTACAGTAATTAAAGTTTTGGACACAAACTTCAAAAAGAGAGGAAAATGAGGAATATGGAAAACCTGTGCATTTCAGCAAAGCACTGCTCCTTCTGGGTGTTGAGTATGTCAGGGCATCAAGGAAAATAGAAATACATGGTGGCATAAAAACTGCACAGTGAAGTCTCAGTCTATAGCCTGGTCACAGAGATAATCCTACTAGTCAGTACGTACCAGGATACCGAGCTAAGATGACACCAGCATCCTGGCTGCTGGTATTTTTTTCCCTTTCTGAACATCCGCTTTGTGGCAATAACATTGCTGTAATGCACTTTTTGGTTGTGCAGTGATTCAAGCCGTCCCCAAACAACACTGGCTCCTTAATATCCAATGCACATAAAACATTCCTGCCTCAATGTCTCAATAGAGATGAAGACGAGGGATCCGGGGGTGAGTTTTGTGTCAGTTTTGCTTGTTCTACCCTATGTATGCGCATCTTTACCATTTCTCTTCTTGGTGTTGCTTTGGAGAAAGGTTAGGCCACTGTACTGTATACGCTTCTTCCTGGCTAACCTACAACAGATGTATAATGTACTCCCTGCTGAATCTGGCTTAGGGACTCCTTTGGGAAGTGAAGTCACACTCTAGGGCTCACCAGACTCCTCAACTGGCCCACCACCAGCACTCCCTCTCTCTAGTCCTACTTTAATGAGTACACGTTGCTTTTGAGCTCCTCTTTAAAACCAAGTTCATCAAAAAGGCTGGAGCGCGATCCTAATAACTGTCTTTGAAACAGTGATTGAATGTCTGTGCAATTAAGTTCTTTCAGAACTGCTGTCTGCCATTTCCTATCCCTTTAATAATTACCTCTTTTTTCTTAGGTACCAACATGTTTTTCAAACCGCTACCTGCATGATGTAGCTTTCACAAAGCCCATCTGTTAATTCTCTGCTAGCAAATTCCTTAAATTAAAGTACCAAAGAGGAAGGAAAGTGGATGCTTCCTAAGCATGGTAATAAAAGCAGTAGGAAGAGAATAGTATGGCTCTCAGGAGGCATGGCTTGCAAATCCAGAAGTTTAATAAAACTCCATATCTTGACTTTAAAGAGGCACTTAAAAGTACCATCTCTGGCCAGATGTTCCACTCCCTTCATCATCTCTGTGGCTGCGCTGGGCTCCCTCCAGCAGTTCCCTGTCTCTCTTGAGCGGAGGGGCCCAGAACTGGACACAATATTCCAGATGTGGCCTCACCAGGGCAGAGCAGAGGGGCAGGAGGACCTCTCTCGACGTACTCGCTACTCCCCTTCTAACACACCCCAGGATGCCATTGGCCTTCTTGGCCACAAGGGCACATTGTTGGCTCATGGTCATCCTGCTGTCCACGAGAACCCCCAGGTCCCTTTCCCCTATGCTGCTCTCCAACAGGTCAGTCCCCAACCTGTACTGGCACATGGGGTTGTTCTTTCCCAGATGCAAGACTCTACACTTGCCCTTGTTGAATTTCATAAGATTTCTCCCCACCCATCCCTCCAGCCTGTCTAGTTCTCATGAATGGCAGCACAGCCTGCTGGGGTGTCAACCACTCCTCCCAGTTTTGTGTCATCAGCAAACTTGCTGACAGTGCTCTCTGTTCCCTCATTCAGGTTGTTGATGAATATATTGAATAGTACTGGTCCCAGTACTGACCACTGAGGGACTGCACTAGATACAGGCCTCCAGCTAGACTCTGTCCCACTGACCACAACTCTCTGTCTTCTTTCCTTCAACCAGTTCCCAATCCACCTCACTACCCAATCACCCAGACCACACTTCCTCAGTTTAGCTACGAGGATGCTGTGGGAGACGGTGTCAAATGCTTTACTGAAATCAAAAATCTCTCTGAATTTCTTTTCAGATTGAAAGTAACAGGCTGCATCTGATCTACCCCAGCAACTGGTGTTAGAGCTCTCCCTCTATTTAGGTGTCCAGAGCTTTGCCAAGCCCATTATTAAGTGATGAGGTCTCCCACCATGTCCCCAGGGAGATTATCCCACAGCCTACCAGACCACATCGTTAGGAAAATGTTCCAAATAGCCAACCTAAATTGTGTTTAATTCAATCCCATTACTCCCAGCTGTACCATTTGGACCACCCTACACATGCCCGTATTCTTCTGCAGAAGGAAAAGGATCCGAGCTGGTTTGAGTTACGTTTGCCTATCATTTGTGGTAGCTGTTCTCCTGCCATCCTCCTTGCATGGGACTGGAGTTCATTTTATGAAAGGAGCTCAGTGCCCCCCTGGCTCAAAGAGCTCTTGTACCCCGAGCTGCCTGGGCAGTGCGGCCGAGCAGGGAGCACACAGCCAGTTCTGCAGCAAAGTCAACTGTGGGATTTGCCTGGGGCCGTGTAGGATGATTCAGGGATATTTCTACCTTTGATGAATCCTGGCTGATGCTCTGGAATAAGGAACTGCTGTATTTTCAATTTTTTTTATGTTTCTGGGAAGGTCCATGCAGCTTTGCTGAGGAGGTTTCTAGCATGTAACTCCCAGACTAGGATCAACAGCCAGCTGCTACTGCTTACGTCTGCTGAAGTGTGATCAGCTTACAACAAAAGGTGGCTCCAACCCAAGAGAACTAGGTGGTTTTTTTTTTTAACCTGGCTGTGGAGGCTCGAGTTTGAAGAAGGAAAAGTTACCAAACAGAACAACACAGCCAAAGTCTTGATGAAAGGGGGAATATGGAAACAGACTTACAGGGCCACACCAAAAGCTTGGCCCAACATACAGGAAGTCTTGGGCAGGGGAAAGGAAGTCACGGCATGCTTTCACGGTGAAAAAGAGACGTCCCAGTTTACTACAGGACCAGTCAAGGTCAGAAGAGACATGCTGGGCTGGAAAGACTCCACAGTTCAGGAAATAAGGCATGAACTTTGCAGACTGATCCCAGACCACCGAGGAGAACCTGACCCCCAGCCCAAAGAAATTCCAGGATGGTTAGGAAACTGAGGCAGGCAAATGAACTGAGGCTTTATTATTTTCTCTTGCTCAGCATAATGGTGTATTCATAATCTTCCTGAACGTGTCTTTGCTAACGTCACTCATACGCCTCTGAACGGTTTAACTAGAGGGCCCACAGACTCATTAAGAAGTGGGTTTAAGCTTTGGAGAGGTGAGCAGTAGACTCTACAAGAACAGGCAAATGAGCCAAAGGTTACAGATCCGTTACTCTCCCTGCAGCTACATCTACAGACCCTGAGAAATATTCAGACGAGGATGACAAGGGCAGTAAAGAAGAAAGAACAATTTCCATACTGAAATCAACCGGTCTAGAATTCGCACCCTGGAAGAGACTACCGAAGCAGATGTGAGCAAGGTCAAAGGGTGATATTTCTGTTTGATATAATCTAGTAAAAAAAATCAAACATATTCCTGTTTCCTAAAAGATGAGCTAAATCTACACCTCACCTCCTCATGGTTCATGCTGCAGGTTAACAACCAAACGTGACCTGATTCAGGTCTCCCCATGATTCATGCAGATGTGGCACTTAGGGACATGGTTTACTGGCAAACTTGGCAGTGTTGGCTTTACAGTTCGACTCAGTGACCTTAAAGGTCTTTTCCAACCTCAGTGACTCTATGATTCTACGCTTAGGGGATGGCACAGGTGGAGCATCATGGATTGTGCAAATCTTCAGTGATAGCTGGGGACAATGAACCCTGTAAGGGCCACTGATTCAGATTGATGTGATGGGCAAAGTGGCAAAGTGAGAAGGCACAGACTCTGGTACACAGGGACCACGGCCACCGCGCACAGAACACTCACTGGGTGTTTTCTACCGTATTTCAGACTCGCAACTGCAAGATTCGTACTTTGTTTTCATAAGTCTTTTTTACTCAATGGAAATTTTACCGTATGCAGAGCTGCCAACAGGTTACGCTATACTGCGTTACGTGCAAACTCCGCTCTGTGTCAGGACGCTTACAACTGGGAATCCACCCCTAAAGACAAAGCGAACAAACAAATCTTGATCTGACTAAATAACTTCACATGGAGCCTGCAAAGGAACTCACTTTTGTCCTCAAGTCCACACCCTAGAGCAGGGATTTGCCAAACCCCAACTATAAATATTCATTAAAAAGCCCTCTGCCTGGGATGCAGTCACCGAGACAGCCATTTCCTGCCCATTATCTCTTTGGGCAGGAAATCAACAGTTCCACTTGGGCGGTTGGTGACCCCCCGGCCCTTGCCACGCACTCTTCCACTGGATGGTTTAACTTTGCCCAAACAAGGGCCACGTAGTTGTAACCTCCCCGAAGCCCCAAAATAGCATTTCATAGCGGTAAAGCAGGTCTGAATGTAGCTGCCCTGTTATTTAGTACTGAGCAGCTCCTGGTATGATATTCCACCTCAAGCTTTTGCTTGGAGCAAGGTGAACGGGAGCATGTTGGCACCACGGGTTGGTAGCATCTACAAATGCTACCAACTTCAGGTTGACCTAATTGTGGTCTCTCGGAAAAGACTGTCTCAGCACCCAATCTTGTTCCTTATAACAACAACAACACAGTTTTTGTGCTAACTTCAGAGGAGCAAGTCCCTGAACTATTATTACGCCAAGAAGCTGTACTTTGCCTGAAAAACAAATCCTCATATTATAGGACACCACACTGCAGAACTGCCACCGCTTACTGGCACTCCATGAAGAATCAGAAGTAAAAATTATAAGAAAGAAATGACGAAAATTGTTATAAATGCACTGTAAATATAGCTCCTCTACTTACCTTTGGTTTCCAGCCTCTGATCACTTCCAATCAAACAGTCTTTGATGTCTGCACCCTTCTCTATCACAGCGTTATGACAAATAACACTGCCCTGAAGACAGCACCTACGACATAAACACAAAATAAAGCAAGAAAATAATTTAAAATGAAAGGTACAAAACAAAGGTATCCACCAGAATATCTAATGAGCCTGTGACATGATCCCATAAGTAGGTTCAGTTCTGCTCTTTTCTCAGAAACTCTGCTATTCTTCTGATACTCACACCCAGTTACTGGAAAAATTGAAATGTCAGCTTTCAGAAGGGTTTGCAAAAAAGGTTTCCCAGTTTTTACCTCCTGTTAGAACAGCTTTCCTCTACATTTCCCTAACAGAACAAATACTGCCAGAGGGTTTCATAGACAGGACACCAGCCTGGCACTTGGCACCTGCATCAAGTCTCATATTTTCCACAGACAGTGTCTTGGTAACTGCAGAAGTGGCTTCTCTGCTCAGCTCCCCAGTTAAAAAGAGGAGCAGCAGCCTAGTCCTTCCCTGTGGATTTTGCTGAGAAGTTTCATACATTCCAGCTTGCCAAGCGCTAAGAAAGGGTGGTGAGAAGGGGCAGATCAGTGTCTCAGCTGGCTGGCTTTGTTCACGCTACATTCAAGCACCTCAACATGATTACTCAGCAGTACTAAACCAATGAAACCCACACTGGACCTGCTCTACCTGCCTTGGGAATCAGAGCAGTTTCAGTTGGAAGAGACCTTCAAGATCATAGAGTCCAACCTTTATCTTAGCACAATCAACACCACTAAACCATGTCCCTCAGCACAACATCTATACGTCTCTTAAACACCTCCAGGGATGGCGATTCAACCACCTCCCTTGGGCAAAGCAGCCTTTGACACCATGAAGTCTGAAATGCTATGTAGGATGGAACTTTAGCAAACGTCACCTTCTTCCAAAATGTATTTGAATCTGTGATAACCAGCTTTCAAATCTGCTGATCTGGTTGTCTGGATAGGAGAGAAATTCAGAGTCCAAGTGTTGGCTTCATAACTTCTCTGCTAAGAGATATCCAGGGAGATGCAGGTAATTTGCTCCCTCATATTAATCCTACTGTGAACCATGGCATATCGTATCTTCTCCCCGGTATTTCTGCTAATATTAATTACAACAATTGTGAATATTCTTGCTATCCTCAGCTGAACAGCTGATCTCTGTCTAAAGTTTTGGCTTCATTGACTTTCTGCATGACAAGTTCCACAGTTTAATGACCCTTAGCCGTTCTCCACCTTGGTCACAGGCATCACCGCAACTCATTGCACTAGTGAAACACAGCTGTGCCGCGCCATCAGGCTTGCTCATGGGCAGAATTGTTACCCTGGGGTCTGAACTGACAGCAGATTGGCATTTTGGTATCAGGTCAAAGCCCTGCACCTCAATTCTGTGTTGAATGGGGAGCTAGCTGGCTGTGGTCCTCAGGAGAAGAGAGAAACACCAATCCTCACTCCAGACTTCTGACCCTAAAATTAATTCCTAGTATCTTCCTGCTTACCCATCGCTATCATCTAGCAACCAGAATTTGCCATTAAACATATTACAATTCTGTTGCTTGTGTGAAAACCATCTGCCCCACAAAACCAGCATTAATTCTGCAGGAGTAAAAGCAATAAAACTGGACCTCAGCCACTGTGGTTAGCAGTTACGACCCCCCTTGAAGAGACCGTCCCCTCTGAACAATTATTCTTTTAACTTGCTTAAACTCCCCCTCCTCTGACCTATAAGGAGGCAATATGAGCAATTACGCTACAAGTAACCAGCTCAGGTCACCTTGGTAAGGTTTCTACTAACATGTTAATAAGATAAAAAGTGGCAAAGATGCACAGCAGACCCCCGCCTGCCTTTGCTCTCACACTGTCACGATCTGCTTCCTCTCCAATAGCTCCCAGTGCTCGCACAGCGGCTCAGGCCATCGTCTTGCACAACGGC